CCTACAGTTGATAGACTAGATATTTTATAGATACTTTGGAGTTTGGGGTTTTTTAATGTGTGTCAATTTTTTATTTAATTCATTATATTGTTCTACTGGTGCAGAATCATATTTTGGTTAGCCATAGGCTATGTTTAAGTTACTTAGTAGAAGTTTTTTTCAGATTTTTTCCTTTTATTGAAAATAGACTTTTCCCAAATAATATATCTTAATTACAGTTCCCCAATTCCTTCCCACATCCCCTCCTATCCAGAGCCACTCTATTTCTGTCCCTCATTAGAAAACACACAGACTTCTAAGGAATAATAATAATATATAACAAAGTAGAACATATGATAAAATAAATACCATCACATCAGCATTGGACAAGACAAACAAACAGAAGGAAAGGAGCCCAAGAGAAGGCACAAGAATCAGAGACCCACGCATTCAAACATTATAGGATCCCATAAAACACTAAACTGGAAGCTATCAGACATATGCAGAGAACCTGGTGCAAACCTGGGCAGGATCTGTGCATGCTGCATCGATCTCTGCCAATCACACTGATTTAGGGAGCTTTGTTTTTGGTTTTGTTTTTTTTTTTTTTTTTTGGTGGTGGGGGTTTTGTTTTGTATTGTTTTGGTTTGGTTTGGTTCGGTTTTGGTTTTTTGGGGTTCTTTGTGTTTGTTTGTTTGTTTCAGTGTCTTCCATCCCCTCTGGCTCTTACACTCTTTCTACTTCCTCTTCTGCAGGGTTCCCTGAACCCTGAAGAAAGGAATTTGATAGAGACATCCCATTTAAAGCTGAGTGCTCCAAGCTCTCTCACTCCAACATACCTGGCTGTAGGCCTCTGTTAGTTCCCGTTTGCTGCAGGAGGAAGCTCCTAATGAGTGGCTGAGTAAGGTACTATTCTATGAGTGTAGCGGAATGAGTCATTAGGAATCACTTTATAGCTACAGTAATGGCTAATGAAACACCATTTTATGCTCCACATCTATCTTGGTACCCACTATATGTTTGTCTCTGACTCCTGTCCCTGGAAGGTAAATCTCCAGAAACCTGACTAGGTGACCCCCGCCCCCACCCAAAAATGTACAGTTGTGAATATCTACTTGTTATCATTTGTCTAACTGCTTTTTTGGCTTCTGTAACTTGCTTATGTAGATATACAGAAACTGTTTATAACAGAGTTGTCTGTTAAGTTTTGAGTTGTTCTCTTTGAGAAGTCTGTTCTGTTATTGTTTTAAATTGCTACTAAAACTGTCAAAACAGACTAATTTTTGCTTGCTTGCAAATATTCAAGGTCTTCTTGTGGTTTTGTCTTTAAATTACCCTTCCCTATACCCCTTCTTCATGGCAATCCCAAGTTTGGTTCAGGGAATTTTGTCCTGATAGCAGCTATTCAATACATTTTTTTAAATTATAAATGCATTGAATCTACAATCTTTCGCCAAGGTTCACAAACTCCACAACACTATACTGTTTGTTGTTTGTTTGTTTGTTTAGACCAGTAGTATTGAAATTTATCCTAAGTGTATGTGCTGTCTCGTCTCTGATCCTTGGTCACCAAAGCAGTGTTGGGTATAGGTTCTATCTCATGTAGTAGTCAAATCTTAAGTCAAATCAAATTGGTTGGTCTCTCCTATAAGCTTTGTACAACCATTGCCCTAGCATATCTTGCAAACAGGATACCATTGTAAATCAAAAAGTCTGTGGTTGGCTTGATGTTTATGTTTCCCCTTTGGTAAAATGTGTCATACCTTTCTGTACCACAGATGCCAGAATGTAGGGGTGAACGCTCTATGTAGGCACCAGCCAGACTTTTTGATGTTTGATGAGTTGTCTGCAGCAATGGAGCCTTGCCAGTCAGTTTATGGAAAGCAACCTATACTCTTGGCAATAGCCTGAGTGGCTTGGGGGTTCCTGTGGGATCCCTTTGGTCAATAACTCAATTAGAAGTAACCCAATCCTGGTACTTGAAGCTTCATTTGGTGACAAGAAATAATCAGTGGGGATTCTGTATCCCCCATTATTTGGAGACTACATTTAGATTTCCTTCAATGTATGTATGTATGTATGTATGTATGTATGTATGTATGTATGTATATTTGGGAAAGCTTTGCATACTATCCCAACAAATGACCTTAATTTTAGCTGTTTCTCCCAAATTTGGAGTTTTACAGCGATTTTGGAGTTTTACATAGACAGGATATTTTTTATATATAAATTTTTATTTAAATTAGAAACAATCTTATTTTACATATCAATCCTAGTTCCCTTTCCCATCCTCCCATGACCCCCACAAAGCCCCCATCCAGCCCCCATTCATTCCCCAGAGAGGTTGAAGCCTTCCATGGGGATCATCAAATATTTTAAAGCGACTACTTTTAAAACTTTTAAAACAGAATGTTTTATATTGAGATGTTGATGCTAATTTTTGGTCCTAGGGATTAGCAAGGAAAGGTTGCAGCTTAGTAGTAATGTATTAGTGTGTCAAATTAAGAAGGATAATTGTCCTGATTAGTGTTTTATCAACTTGACACAAGCTAGAGTCATTGGCAGGGTCTCATAGAGTTTCCCAGACTGGCTTGAACTTGTAATCTCCCTACAAAAGTTTTCCAAATAGCTGAGATTGCATGTCTGGGCTCCAGGGAATTTCTTATTAAAAACCACTTATTTTGAAGCTTTCTGTTATAGTAGAACCTAATCCTAATAAATGTGTTAAGTTTGAGGTATGTGGGAAACATTTTTACATTTTATTTCCTTTTCAGCAATTCCTCTCAGATCCTCTCTCTACCCATCCAGCTTCATATTCTTTCTTACTCTTAAAAAAAAGA